TATGGTTTCGGGTACCTTACATGAGAGGTGGAGCTTGTATTTATAGAAGCGAGCTCCCGATAGGGCTTCCGACAACGTAAGACCAAGTTGTCCTTCCAAAGAACATGTCTACCTCATATGCACCCACGATTACTCTTTTGGTTCGGCTCCTACCGGTATAGGTCAATCAGTATGTAGAATGTAGTTCGGCTCGACTTCGAACACTGAGTTGACTAAACTTGCTTTTGTCGAATCTTCTTACTTGATTCTCCTAACCGTCGATGACACTTGATGACGACACGTGTGGCAGTCAATCAATCGCCTCCAATAGAGACACGATCTTTTGATTAGAGATATATATATCTTTCTGAAGAAATGAATTGTGTTCAATATAAAACCTTATTTTGTCATTTTCTGTCTTTTCTCCTCCGTAAAAGCCTCCTAAATTTAGCAATCCTAAATATTAACACGGAATAAAATCGACTGATACATTTTCACCTCCCTCCCTCCTTATAGTTTTCATATATGAGATTTGAAAACTATTTTCCTAACAAATTTTGTTCTTGTTTTCAATACTATATTTGAAAGATTATAGTAAAACATTCAAAAGCAAAGGGACTCAATTACAAAATTAACACAAAAGTTTAGAAAAATTAAGAGAAAAAAAAAAGAATAATATAAGATTTAGCTCGCCTAATATACAATACTTTAAAATTTAAGTTAATGTTGACCAACTATTCCCTTTAATTAACTTCCCATCCATGTCCATGGAAACGTGATTATTGCCAAATTATTAAATATTGCACAATTCATTTAAATGATTAGAGAGATACTAAGACATATTTTAGTGCTAATTAATATATTATTAGCTATTAAACCATTTTTGCTTTTGGTTTATTTTTTTTTTCCCTCTATAGAAGCATTTCCATAGACAAAACTAAATGCAAAACAAAGAAAAGAAAAATGGTGAGAGCCATTATCTATCTCCACCATGTTCCCTTTCTCCTTTGCTCACCAAGATATAATCTATGTACGAATGTTATTTTCTTATTTATTCTCTTAAAAAAAAACTATTTCTTTTATAAGTACAAAAATTAAGCGTCGGTAAAAGTTCGAAAAGCTATCGACTTACCTGAAGAATGCAATGTTTCGTTGAATCTCCATTGCAACCACATAAAATTAAAGTTTTCTGGAAAAAAAGACGTTCATATTTATTCTACTTTTTTTAAATATTCTCCGCCAATTTCGTTGTTGTTTCTATATCTTTCTCGACGAAAACATTTAGTTGGGATATGTCTTTAATTATGTTGTCGCTTTACAAAAAAAATGGCGCGCTGCAATGTCACCTTTCGTAAAAGTGTTAAAAATTTCATGGGGGAGATGTGACTTTATTGACAAATTTATAATTTCATCGACAAATATGACTTCTAGCAACAATTTCGCTCTCGCCGTGGCATGGCCCAAAAATTAAAATTATCTTGGGGTTAATCCTAGAAACAAAAGTAGAGTTGACCCAATTTGATATTATCATAATTAATATGGATATTTAGTTTTTTTTTTTTTTGATTGGTGTGAAAATATATACATTTGAGAAGAGAACATTCTTTTTGCTTGAGAAACAAGGTGCAAAAAAGAAAGAGGAAAAAAGTGAAGTTGAGTTACATGGAGACCCTTTGTTGGAATATTAACAAAACAAACTTTCCCACAAACAAAAAGTTTTAACCAAAAGAAAAAGAGAGAAAATTTTGCATTATGTATCCACTTTAATTTCTCAGCAGCTTCAAAAAAGTTAGCATATATATATATAGGCTCTCTCTCAAGTCTCATGAGAATTTGAATTATATTGTCACTTTCCTTGAAAGTTTGTGCCTTCTTTTCCATCTTTTCTTTATTTCCAATGAATTTGTTTGGTGAAAAGTTTGGATGATGATAATGGTGAAGATGACTCTTGTTCCCTTCCCTTTATAATCATTTTCTCGCAATAGTCTTGATTGCTCCTTTGACTTCAATTTATAGTTATCCGTCTCTCAATTATGAGTCATAGACTTTTCGTTCATAAATGTCGTAGCCTACTAAGAGCAGATACCAGCTCGTTGACGATTCTAAGCACGATTATGGTTTCCAGTCCAGAGGAATCGATCATCCAGACCTAAGTTGACCTTTAAATTTGTACCCTATATATTTGGGCATTTTTATTTCCAGATCATCATAGCTTTTTTCATAGGGTTTTAGTAATTTTCTCACAACTCTCTCGGGTGATCTTTTTTTAACCAGGAAATGTACTAGTCTCAAAAGCTCTACATATTCTAACTTTTTTTTCTTTTTTTTTTAAATACAACAACATGTGAGGGTGGAAATTCGAACTCACGACCTCGTAGTTGGATACCGGAGTTTAACCAATTGAACTCTAACTTTTAAACTCTCTTTTCATACGTTTAAAAGACTACATAACTTTTCAATTTCACACTATGTACAAAATTCAAAGTTTATTCAAGTAAATCAAATGATCCCTAAAGTCTAAAGATGCTTAGCTTCATGGAAAAGGGAAATGAAAAGGAAAAAAGGACAAACAACTCTTGTTATGATAACATATTGCATTATCACAAATCTAACTGGAATTCCATTATTGTTTATAACTTGAAGCAAAAGCCACATAGCTATGCTGTGTTTGTTGTCAATTAATAAAGCTTTGATTTTTTTTTCTTTTTTTTTTTGAGAGTAATTGACCAATAAAAGACTCAGATGAGGTTTAAGAATCTGACAGATAATCTAATTAGGATTAATTGATTATATAGACTTTAAGTTTGTGGTAGAGAATGCTTTCCAAAAAGTTTTTTTTTAATTATTAGTACTTTTATAATAAAATCCCTTTTTTTAATTTTATTATTTCAAAAATATTTATATTTAATTACTTACAGATATTTATAGAATTGATATTATATTATTACTTCAATAAAGATATTAAAGTTACAAGAAGGGAAAAAAGGAAAAAGATTACTTCTGTAGAGAGATCAATTAGTGAAAGAACATGTATAGACCAAGATTGGTAAAAGAAAGTGTACGTGAAGCTAAGGATATTACTGATAAGATAAAATATGTAAATTAACGAGAGAGATTACGAGTGAAGAAGGGAAAATAGTTCCCGAAAGTATATTAAGTGAGATTAGTTAAAAGAAACGAGAAAGTGTCCGTGGAGAAAAATTAGGTAGAAAATATTAGAAATGAGTGATTAAAAATGTGTGTAAAGAGATGTTAGTGATATAGAGAGAAAGAAAAAAGTTATAGAGAGAAAGAAAAAAGTAAGTGAGTAAGAGTGACGAGGGAATTGTGAATTTAGAGATTAAAGAGGAGACTAAGGAGATAGAAGATGAGTAATCGAGGGACTAAGATGATAGAAAATGAGTAATCGGGAGACTAAAAAGATAGAAAATGAGTAACCGAGGACATCGTGCTTTAGATTCTTCTTCCTCCCTCCGTTTTCGTTTTCGTTTTGTTCATGGTGATTTTGAAAGAACTTAAACATGATCAATTTCTATGCCTTCACTTGTATTGGGATTAAATTGGGAGAGGTAGTTAGATAACTTAAAAGTTCATTAGAGAACAAAGTAATCGCATCTTTTCTTGATGACTAATGGTACAATTTCAAGCTAAACTGAGCATATAATTCAATTCGTTATCTTCGAATCTCCGCTCCACATAAAAAAGGAGAAATATAATTTCAATACTTTTTAAACATTAGCAACTAGCCTTAAAAAATAATTATTACAAATATCTCAAAACGAATATAGCTTTGTAATACCTATAACATTTAGGAACTATAAAATCTTATGATGAGATTTTATAACTCCTCTAAGTAAATTGAAACTAAACTCACTCAAATCACGAGAATTAAATTGAAACTTTCAAAACTCGGATATAGGACGGGTACTTTTAAGCCGTTGATACATTTTGGATACCGGGACATTCAAATCTATAATTTATTTATTTAGGATATGACATGAGGATTTAAAACTCCAACCCATAAAAAAGGAGAATTTTTAACGGCTACAATAATTACTCAGATCAGTTCTCCTTCCTTGTGTGTGTGAATGACACAGTCTGCAGTTGGGAGTGAAACACAGGTTAACAAATAACCCTCTGCCATTTGAGTATCGTCCAGAAACGATCCATCCGACTGGTCGACCGAACCCGAAACAACTTTCCCAGCACATGTAGAGCACGCACCTGCCCTGCAAGAATACGGTAGATCGACTCCCGCTTCTTCAGCTGCATCAAGAATGTAAGTATCATCCGATGCCTCAAACTCGTGCTCTTTCCCACATGGTTCCACAAGTTTGATCTTGTAAACGGCCATTGCAGAGGTTCTGAACGAGGGAGACGATTTCAAGCCGAAGGATCTCGAAATGTTGCTTGCAGATCCAATGGAAGATGGACACTTGATTATGGTGATTCGGTATCGGTTTTTACACGGTGCATTCAACGTGAAGCGGGAAGGAAGAGTTGCAGTGGACATGGTAGACATTTCTGATCCTAAATCCAAGAAAAATATTTGAAATGGTGTGGTTTACAAATCAACCAGAGGCTAAAAGGTGAGAAATGAACGTGTAAAGACTACAAATGAAGTATATAACATCAATTACAAAGAAAACGAAGTTGAAATATATTGCATTTCCCTGCAAGCACCACCAAAATGAACAACCAAAAGGCAAAACTAAGATCTTACAACTTTTTTCTTCATCGTCTTATTTAATTCAGTGGAAAACAGTCCTAGTCTGATGCCAAAGAAGTTCGAAAACTGAAAAATTAAGTTTATAAACACTACAATTTATGTGTTTTGTAAGTTTATAAACACTACAATTTATGTGTTTTGTTATCAAACGTTTTCAAAATCGGAGTTAAATTTTGAAAACTGAAAAAACATAGTTTCTAACAACTTAGTCTTTTGAAATTTGATGAAACAAGCCTAATTTTTTTTTTTTCCTTTTTCTAGTACAACAAGTGGGGAGGAATCTGAACTCGTGACCTCTTGATCAGAAACATATACCAATCACCGTTAAGCTAAGTTCATATTCGCGAAACAAGCATAATTTTTAGAAAACTAAAAACAAAAGAAACATGCGAAATGATTCTTCAAATTCACAAGACAGAGCAAAGTTTTTGGTAATTTGTATGCCTGTTAAAAGGTAACAAATGAGTAGCAGTTGCAGAAAGCTATCCATTGGTTAATGGAGGCAAATTGGATGTATGGAGCATTATGAGAAGAAGCAGGCTAATGGCCTTTCTGTTCTTCACTCGAAGCTCCATCCTAAATGGAAACGATCCAACCCAGATCTCAGATTCAAGGCTAAGAACATACAGCAACTGTATAATCAAACTTCCGATGCTAAACAACACAAGATCAAGATGGGCAGTGAGATCCCCTCAACAGAATAATACTAAATGAAGGCAAATAAATTAGCATAGATAGCGCCATTATGTATACCAAAACCCCAAATATCAAACACACAGAAAGCACAGAGATTGTAAGGGGAGAATTGGATCAAAGATGAGCATCCAACAAGAGGTTTACGTTTAATTAACATGCTCAATTGAAAAATGGAGAAAGCGAAAGTAAAGAAACAAGAGAAGCTTACCGGTGGAGCGGCGGCGGAGAGAGCGAAGCAACAAAATTGAACGCAGCCCAAGTCCTTAAATGATGCAACAATTAGGGCAATACATATAGAAATATATATACACATATAAAACATGAGAGAGAGAGAGAGAGAGAGAGAAATGGCTTTTGGGATGTGCTGAAAGCCCAAGAGGAAGAGGGGATGGAGGTTTTGGCATTTGCAAGCTCCCAAGAGGCAGAGCAGCTGCAGGATCAAGCCCTTTTTGCTCTATAAAGTAGTTGTCCATCTCTGACTTCTTTCAGAATTTTGAACACATTCATCTGCATCTCGCTCATTTCAATTTTCATCAACCAATTTTAAATTTATTCAATTAGATTCTAATTTTTGAGATCCATAAGTTATTGTGACATTTAATGCTTTGATGTTTAACATTATTTACCTCTCTAAAAATGGAGATTCGATGACTTCATGTCGGTACAAGACTTTCAAATAGACTCACACGAAGGACATAGTGAACATTTTTAATGTATGGCTCGAGTATGCAGATTAGACAAAATTCACATCGCTCTCAAATGAGTCTCAAACTAATTCCTCTCCTTGATGCTAATGTTTTTTCTTCCTCGCTTTGATGCTAATGTTTTTCTTTTTTACTCAAGCTTTTATTGCCTAATTTGATATTCTTGCTTGCTCAAGTGCTTGAATTGAGTGCTTTGAAGCTGAGCCTAATACTTCAATTTCATAACTCCAATAAATTTTTAGAGCAAATTTAATTGCGCATTCTGTTGCTAGATATACATTAGCAAATGATTAAGAATGCTTGATTTTCTCTCTCCTTTTGTTCCATAGATGGTTGCTGTTTGTTTTTTTCAAAATTGATACAACTCGGGCTGGTGGATCCCTAACAGGAGCTTGTTATCTAGATTAAGCAACACAGCTAACAAGATTAAGCAACACAGCAGCCAGTGCAGAATCCGAGCTTAGATTAAGCAGCCAGTGCAAAATTCGAACTTGAAAACTCAGTTCTTGAAACCTCAAGACCTCAACGATGGCCACTTTTTATTATCCAGTACATGATTTTTGCCCTTGTATTGAAAAAAGAATAGCTAGCTCAACATAAAGCTATTCGATGGGTGGTCATTTTAGAACATAGAAACACGCATAATTCAAAATTATAAACTAAGTTAAGAGCAGCTACATGATGAATCATAAATAGACAAACTAAACATAGTATTGGGATGATCATTTCAGAAATGTAGCTCAGATCGTGCCATTCTTGATATTATTTTTCAAGTTGTTATAATACTAAAGACAATTGATATAGATGGAAGCTTTGTATTAACCCATTAAGAAAGAACCCAACAACTCTAATACCATAAACCGAAGCGAAAGTAAATGAATGTTCATGTCGGTCATGGAGGAATTGAAAACTTCATTATCAATAGTCACTTTAGAGGAGAAAAAAGCATCCCTGTTTCTTTGTTCAATGATCATTAAAAAAACGCTCAATTCGCAAAACTGCTCTTCAAAAAATAACTTCAACAGTAGAAAGATCGAACACAAGACTGACTAGATCACTAACAGAGCTTAGAAAACTCGGTACGACTTCCCCATTGTGCTCTTCAGGTACAGGCACCTAACCTGCAAACAAGAAACAACAAATATTTATGTTCAGACGGGCAAGGACGATGAGATAAATCAAGTTAAGCAGAGAGATGAATTTCAATGAGAACTTACATTCTGCCAGTTCTTCTTCAACAAAGAAACCAGGAAATTGACACTCATTTGCACGTTTTGGAAGACTTGCTTCTCCTCCATGGAAACATTTCCCACTGCAACTCCCATGCAAAGCACCTTCTTCAATTGAAACTTGACCATTGCCTTGGTCTCGTTAACTTTGGATTCGAGCGATTCTTGGTGTGTCACCAATGTTGGGAACTTTCCTGTAACAGGCAAAAAGAAGTAAATATAGAATTAACATATAATTCATTCAAAAGCCTGTAAAATATTAGGTTTAATTATTCCAGGACTAAAAACAGTAGAGCTATAAGTTTATAAAATGGTCTTGCCTGCTTTGTTGAGCCCAGGTCCTAGAAGACGAGGGATCTGCTTGATTACAGCTTCAGATGCCAAGAAGGCATGGTACTTTTTGGCAAGTTTCTTCACCAATTTCTTGTTCTTATTAAGCTTCTTCAAGCCCTCCACATCCATATAATCTAAACCAATCTTCTCGGCCTGAAATATAAATTTAGGAAATCCCATCAATATATGCCCTCTAAGCATTTGGAAGGCTAAAATTAAAAGATAGCAATAGGAAATATATGGGATAGTCCCAAAATCAAGTAAAATCAGTTCATATGCACACCAAGATATTTATCTCCAAAACAACCACAACACAAAAGAGTTACGAACTAAAATCATATATCAGAAACGCTAAAATCTATACACTATGAAACATCCTTAAATAGTAGAAATATGGAAATAGGAAGATTATATTTATAGATGGGACATACGATTAAATCTTAATAGACAACAATAAATGTGCAAATTTCAAATTTTCTAACAAAAAAACAAATGTAGCTTACAATAAGCAGTTGCACTGCAGGTTAACATAACCATAGAGGTCAAATTACCTCCTCAACGTGCAATGCATCTCCAAGCATGCAAATCTTCATCTTCGGACGGGGAATGTGGGGCAACTTCACAGAACCACTGAAACGCTTATCCTTTTGAGGGTCATAGTTCTTCAGCCCGATCTGAAGTTCAATGGTCTCGGTAAATTTCCTCTTTTTCTCATTGCTATCAGAGAAGATAGATGTGATAGCTTCTCTCAACGCATCACTCTGAAGCTTACTGTAGAACCAAACGACGGTAAGGTCAGACCACACAATAAAAAACTAGAACTTTTTGAACAAACACAAGAATGCAAGCCTACTTGCCCAAGATCATCAATTCATAACTATCCCAAAGCTCGCACAACTCAAGATTGTAGTTTAATAATCAAAACCCATTATCCCAGAGAACCCCAACCACAAAACTAGAAAAGAAATCGGGGGTCCATCCATCATAACTAGGAATTTCAAAACGCAGACATCAATCTGAAACCAAAGCAAAGAGAATGCTGTTTAGCATACCTCATATTCGAACCTTCGCCTTCGCTAAAATACCATACACTTCAGTCCTGTAGACAAACAGAGTTAAGAAAAATGTAAAACCCATGGCCGGAAGCAAGCAAAAAGGGAGAAACTGATATAAACATGAACCAGAACGCAAAGGAAAACTGCAAATCGGACCCAAAAGAGAGCACCAACAGAAAAACAAATGCGTAAAATTCAAAGAAGCATGAAGCGGAAATTAAGGTAATGCTACTGAGATCGTGAAGAAGAAGCGAAGGAGAAGAGAAGAAGTATCAGAAGCGACGGCTTACCGGAGGAAAAGAAGAGACCTAAAAATTAGGGTTTAGAGGAAGAATTTATTTATACGTCTCTAAGAGAGCGATGAAACGGTGGGAACTGGGCTGTCCAATTTGCTAGGAGGTCCAACTAAATGGGCCTAGAAGCCCATTTAATTGCCCTTTTTTCTTTTTTCTTTTTTCTTTTTTCTTTTATTTATTTATTTTTATTTCTAATCTTACCCCTTTGCTCGTGATTTGGAAGATTTTTTGGACAATAGATTTAATTTTTTTTAAAAAAAAAAAACAAGAGATAAGTGTTGTGCTAAAATTGGGTCCAGGGAAGAAGGTGCAGCACTAAAATGGTTTTTGTGCTAAGTTGGGCCAGAGAAGAAATGCAGCATGGAGTAGCACTAAAATAACGGCTCGTATACTGCAACCTATACCAAAAACTTATGCACAATATATTGCGACCCATATGCAATATTACAGCCCACAGTTGTTTTAGTGCAGCTGCACACTAAAGTAAGGAAGTTAACGTCATAGCACTGCAACGCCTTAGCACGCCCAATGCGTAGTACAATTGTGATATTTGAGCCTAACAGTCAACCCACCTCCTATAAATATGGGAGAAGAGCAACCCTTCAAGGTAGGTGAAACCATCAAAAGACATTTCCTTACTTATCTCTTCAGTCAAGTTCATCAACTAACTTAAGCATCGGAGTGTGGTTGGCCAACACCATACCGGTGTTAGCTTTATAATTTCCTTTTAATCACAAGTTTCAAGGAGATTTGGTCCAGACCTGACTTTTATAACCTTTTACGGTCGGCCTGATCAGTTTGGCAAAATCTATCTTCTCGACTTGACCGGGCTCCCCAAAAAGTGATTCAACAGTTGGCGCTGTCTGTGGGGACGACTGTCAATCTAATATACTTATGGATCCTGACCATAGCCACCCACCTCAAGAAGGAAATCCAGTCCCAGGACAAGGATACTCACTCGTTCCTTCTCGAAGACCTGGAGGGCTGCAACCCAGCTTCCAGCACCCTATTCAAGGGGCAAAGGGAGTAAATGAAAATCTTACGATCACAACACACTTTGTGGATGAGTCAGAAGTGCCCCAACGCCGACGAAGTCGGTACACACAAATTAATCAAGATTTGCAAGGCTTAAAGGGAGATATGGTCGAGGTATTGGCTCTTCTAAAACAAAAGGAGAATCTTGGAACATGTGCCAGTTCCTCCTTCCACAATCACTCTGTTAGAGACCCGGCAAAAGGGAAATCCCCGGTGGAAGTGGAAGATGAATCACAGGTAAATCGTCCTCCAAATCCACCTAAGAAATTAATCCTAGAGGGAAACAATCGATTAAGAGATCCCCCAAAGAGTATCAACTCTCCCAAATCTTGTCTCCCTGGCAAGCGAAGGGGTCATCCGGTATGTTCACAAGCAAATTTAGATAGAATAGGTACTGATCATCTAAGAGAGTTCCTGAAAAACCAGTGAAAGGAAAATGCAAGTCAAGAGCATCTAGACCTGCGCACCTGCCTCAATGATCGACCAGCTCTTACACCCGCTAATCCTAATGGCCATACCAATAAAGCGTCAAATGAGGGAAATTTCTATGAGGAATCTGGCATGCCTTTTGCAAATAATGTCATGACAATGGCCATACCACCAAAATTTAAATGGCCTACTATGAAACAGTATGACGGCACCAAAGATCCACTTGATCATGTGAACACTTAGTGCATGGATGGATTTGTAGGGGGCTCGAGATGAAATCAAGTGCCGAGCATTTTCATTAACCCTCGCTGGTCCGACCACACTTGGTATTGACACTTAAAGAAACGATCCATAACCTCGTTTAAAGAGTTAACTCGGGCTTTTCTTACCCAGTTTGTAGGAGGACGCAAGCAGAAAAGACCAGCCACATACTTGTTAACAGTTCGGCAAAAAGCCAGCGAGAGCCCTCGTGACTACATAGTCCGTTTTAACAATAAAGCCTTGAAGGTGGAAGGAGGAACTGATGGAACCGCTCTGACCACTATCATCGCAGGACTGCGGGATGAGAAATTCCTATGGTCATTAGGAAAAAAGACGCTAGTCACCTTTGATGACTTTATCACCAAAACTCAGCGACACATGCATGTTGGAGAGTTACTTAGTGCCCGCAGTAATCCAGGAGACATCACTCGTAATCCTGAACCCATAAAAGGTAGATAGGACTTTAGGCAAGACCCAGTAAGGAAAAGTCGGACCAATGACCTGCTCAAGGGACGACAGTTCCCGTAAGACACCCGTAAATACACTACAACTACAGTACCAATTGAGCATATTCTTATGGAAATTAAAGATCAAAATCTGCTGAAATGGCCTACCAAGAGGCCACAAGGGAATTTTTCCAAGGACCCCAAGCCGTTATTGCCTATTCCATAAGGAAAATGGACATAACACCTCAGAGTGTGTACGCTTGAAAGAATATTGAAACCCTAATACAACTATGGTACCTCTAGGAATTTGTTGATAAAAGGGGAAGGGGATACCACCCTCCCCCACAAGAAGGATTGCAGGTTGACAAACAGCCTGATCAACGAGAGATACGAACAATTTTTGGTGGACCTACCGGAGGAGAATCTAGCCGGAAAAGAAAAGCTCAAACCCGACAGGCAAGGCAGGAACCTTACATCTATACCATTTGTGCCGCCTCCTAGGCATGTTCTGAAATAACCATATACTTTAATCAATCCGATGAGCAGAATTTACATCAGCCACCCAATGACGCCCTGATAGTCGTCCTTCCCATCGCCAACATCCAAGTGCATCAGATCTTTGTGGATGGAGGTAGCTCAGCTGACATTCTCGCTCTTCAAACCTTTGACACCATGAATATTGGAAGAGAGCAATTGAAAACGTGCAATACCCCCTTGGTTGGATTCGATGGAAAGCGAGTTTATTCGGTAGGTGGCATCGAGTTGCCTATGTCTTTCGAAGAAAACCCGTGCGTTCTCAATGGAATGGTGTTTTTCTTAATAGTCAATCTACTGCTCATGAATGTTATTACATGGCATTATGCCACGACCCCCCGACATTAGGTTCTGATGTACATGAGAAAAATAAAAACGTTAAACAAGCGACACCTCCAACCCAACAGTTAGAAAAAGTGCCTCATGTTCTGCCCAATCATGATACTCGAGAAAAAGACCCTCACCTCTCGCTGGGAGAACCAACTGAGGCAATTGAATCAGTTCATTTGCTATCCGACGAGCATCGTGTCCGGATTGGCACTCAAATGGCACCCGAACCCAAAGAAAAGTTGATGGCATTCCTGAGGCATATTGCAGATGTATTCACTTGGTCACACATTGACATGCCAGGCATTGATCCATAAGTAATGGTGCATCAACTCAATGTGGATCCTAATGCCAAACCTGTCGCACAAAAGCAAATGTCCTTTAATACTAAATGAAACCAAGTCATTGCAAGGGAAGTGATAGAGCTGCTCAAAGCAGGTTTTATACATGAAGTATATTATCCACAATGGTTGTCTAATGTGGTCATGGTCAAGAAACTTAATGGTAAGTGGCGGATGCGTGTTGATTTTATAGATTTAAACAAAGCTTGCCCAAAAAACAGTTTTCCCCTGCGTCGAATAAACCAACTAGTAGATGCTACCGCGGGTCATGAAATGCTAAGTTTTATGGACGTATACTCTGGATATAATCAATTGCGAATGTACGAACCGGATCAGGAAAAGACGTCTTTCATAACAGAGCAGGAAGAATGCAGGTGCTACTTATCAAAGGTTAGTCAATAAAATGTTCGCACCGTTAATTGGTAAGAATATGGAAATTTATATGGATGACATGTTGGTCAAAAGTCGATACTCAACCCAACATAAGTCAGATTTAGAAGAAGCTTTCAGCATTTTGCGGAAATATCAAATGAAGCTGAATCCGAGTAAGTGTACCTTTGGGGTGTCATCAGGCAAGTTTTTAGGGTATTTAGTCCACCAAAATGGAATTGAGGCAAATCCCGACAAAGTACGAGCTGTAATAGAAATGACATCCCCAAAAACCTTGCGTCAAGTACAGAGACTCGATGGGAGAATTGCAGCATTAAATCGGTTCATATGCAGGGCTGCTGATAAATTTTTTGTCGTTTTTCCAAGTACTCAGGAAAAATGGCCCATTTGAGTGGACCGAGCAATGTGAAAAAGAATTCACCCAATTAAAATAGTATCTTAGCGTCGCCCCATTGCTTGTTAAGCCTCTTCCAGATGATAAATTATTTCTATACCTAGCTACTTCAGAAACAGCGGTAAGTTCAACGCTAGTAAAGGAAGAAAATGGTCGTCAAATGCCAATATATTACACTAGTAAAGCGCTATTAGATGCTAAAACACATTACTCGTTAATTGAAAAAATGGCACTAGCATTGATTGTAGCAGCTCGATATTTGCAACCGTACTTTCAGGCTCATGCTATCACTGTACTAAAAAACCTACCTCTAAAACAGGTTCATCAAAACCAGAAACTTTGGGGCGATTAATGAAGTGGGTCGTTGAGTTAGGAGAGTACGACCTATGGTACAAGCCTCAAACTGCGGTTAAAGGGCAAGTCATGGCTAACCGTATTGCAGACTTAACTCCAAATAGGGAATTATGACAAAAGAATGATGTTAATAATGTTACCCCACAAAGTTCTCTCGATCCTGAACTTTGGACCGTTTATGTTGACGAATCTTCTATCAACAAGGATGCGAGGCGGGAGTAGTAATACTGTCGCCGAAAGAGACACATATAGAGCGGGAGTAGTAATACTGTCACCGAAAGATACACGTATAAAGATTGCACTGAGATTTGGGTTTAAGGCTTCCAATAACGAAGCTGAGTATGAAGCACCGGTTGCCGGTCTCCAAACGGCTGAAAGTCATGAAGCTAAACATTTAACAGTCCTCAGTGATTCAATGCTACTCGTCAACCAAGTCAAGGGAGAATATCAGGTAAAGGGAGAAAAGCTAAGTGCATACAAGACACAGGTACAACAGTTGCTCACCTTATTTTCAAGATGGGAGATCTGACAAGTTCCCCGGTCGGAAAACAGAAATGCTGATGCACTGGCTCAATTGGCAACTGCCTATCAAACTGATATATAGGGCGAACAATACCTTTTAAATTCGTACCTCATCCTAGTATACAACAGGCAGTACATGCCAATACCATGGACACTCCGGACAATGTGTCATGGATGAACCCGATAATTAATTATTTAACCACCGAAGAACTACCTACTGAAGTGATTGATGCCCATCGATTAAAACGACAAACGACCCAGTACACGCTCGTTTAGGGAGCTTTGTACAAGCGGGGTTACTCTCAATCGCTCTTGAAATGTCTTGACGAAAGAGATGCCAGGTACGTGATATAGGAAATTCACAAGGGAATTTGTGGTAATCACCTAGAAGCACGATCATTGGCCCATAAGATAATCCGACAAGGATACGACTGGCCAACCTTACAACATGATGTTCAACAATATACCAAAACGTGCGATCGATGCCAACGATTCACCCCAATTCCAAGAATGCAGGCAGAACCGCTATCTACCAAATTAGCCCTTGGCCTTTCGAGCAATGAGGAATTGATATCATAGGACCATTGCCACGAGGAAAGGGCCAGATTAAGTATGCAGTAGTGGCCGTGGATTATTTTACTTAGCGGGCAGAAGCTGAAGCCTTAGCCACCATTACTGAAAAGAAAATCACAAAGTTCGTATGGCAAAATATTGTATGTCGATTTGGTGTCCCACATGCTATCATCTCAGATAATGGAAAACAGTTTGACAATGCCAACTTCCGAAATTTTTGTGAGCAACTTAACATTCGTCATATTCGCTCCTCGCCGGCTCACCCACAATCCAATGGGCAGGTGGAAGCTGTGAACAAGATCATGAAGCAACATTTGAAAACCTGTCTAGAGTCATTAAAAGGAGCGTGGATGGAAGAACTACCCAACATGTTATGGGCCTATCGGTCGACAATAAAGACTGCAACAGGGGAAAATCCTTTTTCTCTCGCTTTTGGGGTTGAAGTTGTGATCCCCGTGAAAATAAGCCTTCTGTCATTACGAATAGTGGAGTACAACCCTGCCACCAACGATGAGCGCCTTAGGCTCCATCTTAATCTGATAGAAGAATTACGGGAAGTATCCTGGCAGCGGATTCAAACCCGTCAACAGGTCTCTCAACGTTACAACATAAATGTTCGACCGAAAGCATTTGAAGAGGGAGATTGGGTGTTACGACGAGTGGCACAAAATACTAAAGAAACCACAGATGGAGTTTTAGGACCCAACTGGGAGGGCTCGTACAAGGTCATTCGAGTTGCTCGACCAGGTACTTGTTATCTAGCAAACTCTGAAGGCAAGCCATTGAAGCATCCATGGAACGTGGAACATCTCAAGAAAATATTATCCATAAAAGTGCACGTTGCGAAAGGAAAGTCTAAGTCATATTGTAAAGATACAAGTATAAAAGTTCTCAGTACATAAAACCATCGAATGTTTAAAAATAAAGAAAGCAAGCAAAGTTATGATACTGCTAGCCCTGAGACTCTTCCCTAGTTAACGGCACATCAGGTCGGACTACTAAATCCCTCAGACGGGTAGCTTCAGAAGGACTAACATCAACAGGTGAAGCTTCATCACCAATGAGGCCCGATCTCACCATATCAGTAAAAATAGATGCTACGCACCCTCTGGCGTTATCTGTCCCTGTCTCGCTAGCACCTAAGACGCATCCCGTGACAACCTTGGAAGGCCCAGGTATACGAGGTCCACCCCACTTGGCACGAAGCAATGCAAAAAGAAATCCAAAGTCTAAATCAGGGAACCTCTCACTAACCTGGTCTCTGACTCAGCCCACGCTCAACTCTATAATCTCTCGTTCAAGGGCATCCTACGCTCCAATCTTTTACATGGCCTCCTCCAACTTCTTCGCATCACCTAGGATAGCCTTAAATGGAGCACGCTGAGCCTCAAAACGAGAATGCTCAACCTCTAACTCAACTTTGTGTTCAGCCTCACGACGCTCGAAGGCCACCTTCATCGCGTTCATCTCGGCCTCTGCTTGACTCTAACCAGAACGCGCTTGCTCCACAGAAGTTTCTAACTCCACTATTTGTAGCTCAAACCGGTGTGAAAGAGCCTAAGCCTCTTTCTCAGCATCTGCCTTCTACTTCCAAGCATAAGCGAGTTCGGTCCCCATGTGGTGAGTTGAGCTCCCGATCTCACCATCAGTAGGATTTAAAAGGAAAGACACTTACAATCCAAAAGTAAAACTAACCCTGCGCTAAAAAAGACCCTGACAAAATTCCCGATTAGGATCCCCAAACTCAAATACTTCATATAGTGACAAAGTCTGCAACTTATCATAGACACGTCGACCCTCCCTATCAGCAACCCCTTGGGAGATGGGGGCTTGATAAGGACCTGGGAAATTAAAAAATGGAAACAAAGTCTCTGGAGGAGAAGAAGAACCTCCCCTAAGGGGATCCTCGAAAAATGGAAACCCAGTCGGTGGAGTAACACCCCTCAGTTTGGTAGAAGTAAGTAATGGAGGAGCTATCATAATAGGAGGTGGATCTGAAGGCTCAGTCGAAGAAATAACGATCTCTTGAGAAAAGTGGCCCCATGTCTGATGGAGCACAAACAGAAGCTAGAGAATCACATAAAAGTCAAATTTTCACTATAAAAATACCAGTTTAATAGAAATGAAGTTAATAAGAAAACCAAGATATCAGTTAAAGCAGAAAAGGGAAAACAAGAACCACTGACCCGGTGTCCCGAACCTGGAGGGAACCACATAATTGTCGACACTACTTGCGAGCCAATCCTCGCTCACCCAAAACCAAGACTCTTTCCAATGTCTATTAGAGCTTGGACATGTAACCATCTACCGAGAATGGCACATAGATATCCTCGAAAGGACCTCACCTCGAGATTCCCGCCCTTCTACAACCTTGAGGCTAGGATCAGCTTTCTCCCCTTCAGCCCCTTTATCAGGTCTAGCTTCGTTCTCTCTCTCTCTCGTCCGAGTGTCTTTTCTCCTTATTCCTTGAAAGATACACAAACAAATTCTCCTTGGGCGGGCTACCTTTAGAGTAAACACATGCAAAACATTAGAAATATCAAGTTATTGTTGGGTGTGTTGCCCTAAACTCGTAGTTTGTATTTTGTGTAAAAACAAATCTATATTCAATAAAGTTTTATTCAATAAATTTGTTGTTGAATTCATAGCATTCCATTGTCCAAAATCCAATAAACTAAACATCCGAGGTTATTTTA